CACAGGAATTTACAAGGCCTATTTGTTTGGAAAGCCAACCATAATTGTAACAACACCTGAAACATGCAAGCAGGTGTTGATGGATAGTTTACAATTCAAGACCGGTTGGCCAAAATCAACATCGGAATTAATGGGAAGGAAATCATTTGTGGGCCTATCTGAAGAGGAACACAAGCGCCTTCGCAAGCTGACAGCCGCCCCAATCAGTGGTCACAAGGCACTGTCCATGTACCAGGAGTATATAGAGGATGTCATAGTTAGTTCGTTGGATGAATTGGCAAAAGCAAAGAAGCCCGTTGAGTTCTTGACTGAGATTAGGAAGATCACATTCAGAATAATCATGTTCATTTTCTTGAGTTGCGAGGTTGGTACACTGTTGGAAACCATGGAAAAGGATTATACTCTTATGAATCATGGTCTAAGGGCCATGGCCATTAACCTTCCTGGCTTTGCTTTTCACAAAGCCCTCAAGGTCAGATAATAGTTGATAAATTTCTTCGTTTCAGTTCCTTTTTTTATTCTTTTTGATTCGAGAATCGAAAGGTATTCTATAATAATCTAAACTACGAGGAGAGGAATTCAAACATGGGTGAAAATGGGGGAGTGTACTATTGTAACCAACTTGAGATGCGTGTCTTTATCTATTTCTTTTTATGATATCATTTTTTAGACTTGAATCTCAATAATGATATTCTTACACGAATCAGGCTAGAAAAAGGATGGTGAAGATTATTCAAGGTATTGTAGATGGAAGGCGGGCAAGAAACGAAGCTCAGATATCAAGGGAAAGAACAGATTTGACGGATATGTTAATAGTAACCGAAGACGAGAATGGTAACAAATTAGATGATGAAGAGATTATAGACATAATTCTCATGTACTTAAACGCTGGTCATGAATCTACAGCCCATGCCACTTTGTGGGCTACTCTCTTCTTACATGAGCATCCAGAATACTACCAAAAAGCCAAGGTGGGTGCATCTATATTTCAGTCTCCTTTTGTTTTTCGGTTAACTTGGAAAGAAATTGTGAGAATATGTTGTCTCCAGCTACTTTTGGTGGCCACATTCTTCCAACCAAGGACCCTAGTTCAATTGTTTCTGAGTTTCTTTCGAAATATTTCGAACCCAATGTTATTATGTTTCAGGCAGAACAACTGGAGATTCTGAAAACGGCATCACCAGAAGAAGGATTTAACTTTAGAGGAACTAAACAGATGGAATATCTTTCCAAGGTATGTTTTCGGTGGCTAATTTCAACTGTTCAACCATCTATTTTGCTAATATACTGTACGTAACAACTAACAAGTTTGATTACTTCTGAGGTAAGGTAATCGATGAAACTCTGCGCATTGTTAACGTCTCATTGTATAGCTACCGAGAGGCTGCTACTGAGGTCAAAATCTCTGGTAAATTAACTTCACTGCTTTCTCCATTCCTTGCTTAATCTGTTAAACTTACTGGAACATGTTGTGTCTTGAAGGTTACACAATACCAAGGGGCTGGAAAGTAATGATGTGGTATAGAGGTGTCCATTTGAACCCAGAATATTATCCAGATCCAAAGGAGTTTAATCCCTCCAGATGGAATGTAAGCAACATAATTCAATGTAACTTGTAATATCATATGACATGCATGCCTTCTAGCTTCAACCGTTAGACCTTGATCAATTAATGGTTAAAAACACCAGAGTATACTGAAAATCGATATACCCGAGCAAACTGTTGTTTGACAAAGTCAAGTTGTGGTTTGTTTTTTTGTAGGAAAGTAATGGCAAGGCAGGAAGTTTCATTCCCTTTGGAATGGGAAGTAGGCTATGCCCTGGAATTGATTTGACCAAGCTTGAAATTACTATATTTCTTCACTATTTTCTCCTTAATTATGAGTGAGTTGCCCTTTGCTTAATTTCCATTTGTGCTTTGCACTTTTCTTTCAGTCAAATAACTACTAAGTCATGAATACGATATCTGAGGTTCTGTTTGGATATTTGGATTTAAAATGTGTGATTTGAATCCCTCCTGTCAAATCCGATACCCATTGAAATCTGGGTGCAACACAGAAGGTTAGTTTGTTGTCTAGGATTAGACAACTCACTATATTCAAGATACTTTGAACAAAGAAATGAAAAAAGGAAAATTTAGCCAAAGATCAATAAAAACTTTACGATTAAGCCATATATCAATGATATATTTTTGTTTTGGACTTAATCAATGATATATTTTTATTAATTAGGTATAGGTCAATGATAAATGCCACATAAACTTTAAGTCATTATTCTATCGTTCACTCTCTCTTTCTCTCTCTATAAATATTATAAGGGCTTAAGCTATTATAAATATGGATTTAGATCATCTCCGGATCAATTTGTGGAGATCCCCCGGGCCAATGGATCTCATCCATTGATACTAATCCACCGGCCAAAATCTCTTATCCTTCCTCTTTTCCCCTCAACTCTTCTCTTTTTCCCTCACTTCGAAGCTCTCAACCTTGAACCACTAACTCCTCAAATTCCAAATTAAATTCAACCCTACCTCAAAATCAACCTCAACACTGTCACAACCCACCCAACCCACAAGCACCAATTGCAAGTCCCTCACCTTACCGTCTCCAAAATCAGCCCCACCACCACCACATCCCTCAGTTGCAAGTCCCTTGACCTTAAAATCTCAGCCGATGTTAATGAAACAACAAAGAGAGGGGTCGTGCAAACCAATGTATTTTGGTTGCAGAGATCTTTTTCATAACTATGGAAGAATTAAAGTGAGAGAAATCTCAAAGATGAAGAAGAAGAAAGAGATGACAAATAAAAAACTAAAACAATAAGGGATAGTGAAAAAATAAATCAGACTTAGAGCACAGATAACATGCAATTGAATTTGGGGTTTGTTAACAACGGTGCAGTGTAGGGGTGCGAGGGAGAAATAGGAGTTGAGGGGGAAGAGGATTCAGCCGTTGGATTTCTATTACTATAGAATTGATCTTGAGAGGATCTGAATCCAATAAATAGTTAGAATATGTATATTCTATCACTCTCTCTTGCCCTACGTTTACATGAAGGAGTCTACTCAAGTCAAAAAAAAAAAAAAAAGGAAACCGAGAAACAAACATTGCATTGTAGTGTTTGTATCCAAATGTAAAAAATAGAACCATGAAACGAATACTACATTGCAGTGTTCGTATCCAAATGTAAAAAACAGAACCATGAAACGGACACTACATTGCAGTGTTCGAATCCAATTTAAAAAAAAAACAGAACTAGGAAACGGACACTACATTACAATGTCTAAATCTAAATGTAAAAAACAGAGCTAGGAAACGGACATTGCATTACAGTGTCTGAATCTAATTGTAAAATCAGGAGTTACGTGAGGTGTGAAGTGTAGGAGACATGTGAGTGATGGAAAAAATAGAACCAAGAAACGGACATTACAACGCAGCGTTTGAATCCAAAAGTAAAAAACATAACCAAGAAATGAACACTACATTGCAGTGTCTGAATCCAAATGTACAAAGGAACATGCAGGAGGCGTGTGAGAGATGGAAAAAACGAAACCAATAAATGGACACTACAACTCAGTGTCTGAATCCAAATATAAAAAACAGAATCAGGAAATAAACACTGCATTGCAATGTCTGATCTGTATTGACTTGTTCCAAATATAAAGCTATAAGAAAGAGAGTGTTAGTTGAAGTGGATGCCAACTGTAGTTGCAGATTTTGTAATTTTTGTTTATTTTAAATGCATTTAAATATCACAATACATGATTGACCTATTTATAATTAACATAAATATTGTTGATCTATTGTTATTGATTTTTCACAAAATCACCCATGAAAAAAATATGTGTATAATTTGAAGGTAAAAGATGAATTACTCATTAATGAAACTTAGAATTGATGAAATTTTCTCATGTCTAAAAAGAAATATCAATGTATTTAAATTCTAAGAAATTCTTCGTGAAGCACTTTCAAGTGTTTTTTCCTATAAAAGACGTAAGGTTTAAAATAAAATATCAATGTGTTTTCTAATAAAAATGTTTCCAAAACCAATGCAATGGTATATTTGGACGGTGAGGTTCCAAATCCAAGAATTTTAATTATTAATTTTTTTTAATACAAGTGATATTCTACATTAGAATTATTTGTTTGGAAGAGTATAAATTTCAAGTTCATTATATCTTAACTTTAAACCAATTATCGAACAGTTGACCATCAGACATTTCAAATTCTAAAATGTTGTAGTAGTTTCATAACTAATTTTTTTTTTATTAATTAACTAATATTTAAAGTTACAAATAATAGATGGCCGGCCCTTGACATTCAACTTGTTTAACTTTGAATGCAGGCTTGAACGACTCAATCCGGCAATTGGAGTGAGTTACTTACCCCATCCAAGACCCAAAGACAATTGTCTTGCAAAAATTAAGAAGCTTCCATCACCATCTATATAACCTGAAAAAAAGCCAGGGCAGATTTGCTTCCACTTGTAAAATATGTTTACAGTCCTCATCCGGTGGACGATGAGAAAATAATATCATTGTACTAAAAGCTAGTTGGTGGAAGATTACAAGGCAAAAGTGAGACTGGCCCCTCTGTTTTTCTATACATCACTTATCATATTTCAGATTTTCAATCTTTCGATGCTTCTGAGGATACAACTTGGTCCTCCCATCCTTGAACATACCAAAGGCATAGGGATTGCCTTGAAGGTGTTTATAAACAAATCCAAGTCTTAATCCAATCATGTACGGTCCAATATAATTGGTGAAGACTAACAAGATGGAAGTGAACAGTTGAATGCAGTTTCTTTATAACATACAAGCGATGTTCAACTTTAAAGTAATCTAAGTTGTGGAGAGGAAGATTTGATATTGAGGGGATAGGAGGGAGCAAGCACGTCCCCTCTAGCCATATGCCCACGCTTACGCCTGCAATGATTGAATGGACCTTAATATCTCTCTCTTTTTTTGTATGAAAACGAATCCATGAACCTTTTTTCGGTTTTGATTCAACAAGTACTTTTATTCACATAAAATGTAGGCAGAAGGTTGAAACATGAGTTATGACCTAGATTCTGCAGTACTTTGATAATAATATTTAACAACTTCAACAAACATTAATTAAACCTTAAACAGCTGAAAATCAATTAGTTCAATGGGCTGCATCTTCTTCCTCACAAAACTTCGTGTATTCTTTAGGTCCCAACAAGGATTCTAGTTCTGATGGACTGCTGGGCTTGATCTTGATCATCCATCCACCTTCATATGGGCTCGAATTGATCTAAATATACCCAAAATAAATTAACAGTTTAACAACATAATATGTCAAATTGTTTGAACAACCGTACGATACTTTGTCTAAACATGGATGCACTCATGCACAGTAGATCAAATATTTGAACAATAATATATATTGAAAGAAGGATAAGCATTGTTTTAGGAAAAAGAAAAAGGAAGATGAATTACCAAACCAGGTGATTCAGTAAGCTTTGAGTTAACCTCGACGACTTCGCCGGAGATTGGGGAATTTACGTCACTGGTTGCTTTGACACTTTCCACAGCTCCAAAGCTGCCTCCTTGAGAGACTGAGCGACCAGCTTCTGGTAGCTCAACAAACACTACTTCTCCAAGATGGTCCTGAAACAAAGCTTCACCAGCATCACTCACTCCATGGGCTAATACTTTATCATATTATATTTTATTAAGTATCGAAATAATATTATGGAAACGAGAATAATTACAATGCTCAAACAATACAATTTTAAAAAATAAAATGGATCTTCAACCCAATTGCAAAAGACATCGATATTAAAGGTTCAGGGACCCGTGGAATGGATATAATAAGTATATTAATATATTAACCTGAGCATGATCAGTTATGCCAATTGTTGCCACAGAGCCTTCATGCTTCACCCACTCATGTGAAGATGCATACTTCAATCCATCCAAAACTGCAAAATCCAAACATAACCCCCAACATTACAATTCTTTTCAATTTAATTTCCCAACAACAACAAATTTTAAAATACCCCAAATACACAGCACTCCTAAAATCACTCTTTTCTTTGACAAATGATGATATTTACACTAAATTAATCTAAACTACAAAGTGGAGGATTCAAACTTGGATGCAAGTTGCAAATGATGGAGCACACTGCTCTAGTCAACTTCGCTAAAACCAAGTCTGCATAGCACTCAAATTCTAGTTGAACAAAATCATGCATGCATTGGCAGCATCCCTTGATATAAGTGAAAAGGTAGGCCCTTCTATAATTATAGTTATACCAAACAAATGAAATATGAAGTTGAAGAAAGGTGTGTAGTTTACGTACCAGTGGAAAAGCATCTGGAGAGAGAAAATGCAGGAGAGAGTTGGGATTTGGAGGCAGTGGAGATTCTAAGTGCATTGGCTGTTGAAGACGCCCACAGTCTCAGTGCCATATTTCTTCTCTCTCTCTCTCTCTCTGCTTAATTCTATCTCTCTGTGTGTGTGTCTGGTTATCTCAAACCACCAGAGGCTAATATCGAAGAAAGAAGGGAAGGACACACTTCGGTTAGGATATGTCGTTTTATCTTGGATGAATGGTTGGCAACAAAAGCCTCATCCCAAGTTTAACAAACAAAGACCCAGTTTAATTTATTTTATTTTTATTTTTTAGTTATTATTTTATGAATCTCAACTCAAGTAAACTTGTTTTTAACTTTTAGCTTGTACTCATCGTCATTGTGAAAAATGAAATTTGAGAAAGTGTTGAGAGTATGAATCCCACGTCAAGGAAAGATTGAATTTTATATGTGCTTGTAAGTAGTTGAGCTACTCCTCATATGCTAATTTGTTTCATGGTGGAATCTAAAATTTTTTTATGTTATCAAGCAGGTTGTCTCATGTATAAAGCTCAAAAATCGTATTTGTTCTATGCCCTCTAATTTGTGTTGTCCTGTTAGGCTCGAAACTTCGTTACATGTGAGAGGGCGTATTAAAAGTATGAATCTCACATTTCAGAAAAAAAGGATCTTGCATGTGTTTTTAAGTAATTGAACTACACCTCTAATATTCTCAATTGGTTTTGTAATGAAACCTCCACTTTTTTCAAAAATACATTGTATTTTATGAAACTTGAGAAATTTGGCAGTTGGACTACAACTAAAGTATGTCATTATTGAAGTAGATTTCAAGAGTTTAATTCAAATTCTAAATACGTACTATCGAGACATGCCTATTATTCGATTTCAATGTACTATAGAGAAATTAACACAGTAGCAATGTTTTTTGGGAGCTTAGGACATAAGTATAATGACACTTGTATTTAGTTTTTTCAATTTTCTTATGAAAGTTAATACTTATGAACAATTTTGTTAGGGTGATGTTAGGGAGATCAAAATTTTTAAATTAAATGATATGAATGTTGATGAATAAATTATGAATAATGCTAGGGAGACTAAACTTTTAAATCAAATGATATGTTACCAATAAGAAACAAGTACATTAACTGACTCTTAATTAATAATCAAATCATCTATAATCACATCATTTGGTTTGCAAATTTAATTTAAAATTTTAGTCTCCTAGCATTATTTATTTTGCTATTTACGATTTAAAAAGTCCTCATGATCTTCTTTGTAATAATATTTTTTATAGTCTTTTATTTTATTTTTTGAATTAAACAAGATAACTTTGTTTCCTAGTAATGAAGATTTTAGGTACTTTTTATTTATTTATTTTTACAAATAAACATTTACGACACAAGAAAAAAAAAAAACTTAATAAAGATAGTTAAGATTACATCGTAAAACACGACTAATAACAAACACACAAAGATTTAGTAAACTTCCAATATGATACATTGCCCTCCATTATAAGACACCTTCTCACATTCTTATACACCCCACACGTATGACGAATTTATTTTCAACATTGCCTCACATTATACTCATGGTTTTATATAATTAACATCAAACATCACGCGGTGTTATGAACCGTATTTAGGTGAACGAGTAACGTGGCTAGGCTGCTCATACAGGATTTTCTCCAATGAAACAAGGCCTGGACTCTAGAGGTGTGAACCCGGTCCCTTTTACAATCCCAGTACCCAATAGCCAATACCAATGAAGCCCGGTCCATTGCTTCTGTTTTGACTCGTGACTTGTGAGAGTCCGACAAGAACGCACAAAACAAAAGACCCCTGCGATAGGACTCCGTCTGGATTCTGGAACAGCCCGGACGTCGGTGTCTGTGAATTTGGCGACGGTTGACGGAGACCCAAGAAAGAATTGGTGGCGGAGACGCCGGTGCTTCATATGTTATGGGCGAGATTACTGAGGAGGAAGAGCTGATACCCATTTCGAATAACAGCAGCATCGTCAATGGCGACGAGGAGTTTGAGAAGAAGAAGAAGAAGGTGGAGATCGTTGTGAGAACCATCGGCCCAGCTCCCCCTTCTCGTCTCCAAGTCCCCTCATCAATCACAGTACGTTCATCTTTCTTGACCCCCTCCCTTTCAATATCTGTCAGATATGGATGCATGACTCAGATTGCATTTGGAAAATTACCTGGTTTTATGTGATTCCTGTTCATATTTCATATTATGCATGCACAATTGATCAAAACCCAGATTACGAATTCTTGATTATTTGGCAGAATGTGTGCCTCCATGAAATTAACACCTATTGTTCTGACGAAAAGTGAGGATTTTAAACAGTTGCCAAGTCAAGCAATTCACTGATTGTCAGACATGACCAATTCACTGGTGTTATATATGTATCTACTTGCCCGAGAGTCGAGACCGCAACAGGACCAAAGCTTATTGGCTGATAGGTCAAGAATTTGTGTGATAGATTTTATGAGATCACTAGTTATTGCCTCTAAGAACTAGACTCTTCAATACGGTTCAAGTCTAGATTTATCACAATCCACAACCTTTTCCCGTTACGTGATGACACATTTCTCGGACTATTAACACCGTATAAGTGTATTTTAGTCCTTAATTGATTCTGTCAAATCCACTACCCGATTGCTTCCTTGAAAGGGCTATGTGTGCAACAATGTTAAACCTCAAGTAGTTGCACTGAGAATTCCAGAAGTACAGGGCCTGAAGTGAACGCGCTGCTAAATATCAGGGGTGTTGGTGTAATAACTCTAGATGTTTGTGCGCGTGCATGCTCATTACATAAGGTGTTATAGAACCTCCAATGAATACATTGCTTTCTGTTTACCTTGTGACATTTTCAAACACTATAAGTAGTTGTAGTTAATCTAGAACTTTTGACCTTAGTATTTTCCTGCTGTCTGTATAATCTCTGCCAACACTGTATATGTGTCTTGAGATTCTTTTTAGCATGTATTAATATTTTAAAATATTTAGTGTTTCATCTAACTTTATAAGTCTAGGGTAAAGGGCATGAGTTGGGTAATAACACAAATGTGTGAGATTTAAAGGTGTGCTTCGACTTTTTGTCATAAACAGGTGCATGATTTGAGAAAATTGATAGCTGAGAATGGCCACTTACCAATTGAGAGGCTGAGGCTTATTTTGCGAGGCAATGTATTGCATGATAGCAAAAGTGCACAAGATGTGTACCTACAACTCAATGACGGTGGTATTGTTCTTTTCATAGTATTTATCACTTGATTTTATTTGAGCCTATTTCCCCACCCAACTTTTTAATTTTTTGAATTAAAATGGTTCTATTGTACAAATCACCAAAAATTACATATCTAAGCATCTAGAAGCCATTGGACCAAGACAGATAAGAAAAGAAAAGATCTGAATGGGAAATGAAATAAACTAGAAAGAGAAGCTACACGAAAATATAATGATAAGCCGCATATCAGAGAAGATTCTACAAACCTTCTCTTAATTAAACTGGAATAAATTTAGGGTGGTGCTATCCACATATTCCTTTTTACCTTCCATATGTGTCTCAAGTATCGGCCTTTGGATCGGATGAATTAGAGAGGATCAAAAGACATAAATTAACAAGGGGTGTGTTGGAGGTATTAAGAGGTGTGTGGATAGCACCAGCCTAAATTTATGCCTTTTCTAGATAAAGAGGACACCAGATATGAATGAGAATAGTAATCCATGGAAGATCTTGAAATCTTTTGGGCTATCGGTGCAGATTATGAAATTTCACAATGGGAGGACCACCCCAAAAGCAGTCCTTAATTAAGTTGGGTAGTTTCAACCTACATTCAAGCTTCGGTTGATTTTGTTGCTCACATTGATATAAAAGTTGTTTGGAGTTCCACAACATATTTGTTTAAACTATTAGTATTTATGATATAGTTGTTTGTGGTTGTTTAACTCCATATTCTAGGTATCACTTTTGCAAAACTTTGACCACTCTGACTTAATCAGCTACCTGAATTAAAGATTTTGATGGATGAAAGTTAAACGGTTAATGTTTTGACAAGCATTGTGTCGCTTAAAATTTTTTCATATGCCTTTCTTTTCTTCATTTTGAGTGAGGTCTTCAGCTTGGCATGATAGAGAAAAGAAATTTCCTAGTTAAGAGTCCTTGTTTTTGGCTCATTTGATGAGTGGCTAGGATTAATTATTAAACATATATTTTTGTCTAGATTCCCTAATTGTTGCTGTCAAACCAAAGCCTCCAGTTAAACATCTTAGGGATGGATTTGATGATGACGATGATGATGAAGATCTGGTATGCTTGAACCCCTTATCCCATTGAAATGTCAATGCCATTGCATAAACTGTGAATCAACTAATAGTCTTCCCTTGATTTTTGTATTTCCAGAAGTTTCAGCTTCCGCTGTCTTCAAGCCCATGGAAGAGGGCATTGTACAGTTTTCTACATGATAAGATGAAGCTCCCTGGTAGGCATCAAGTTTTTTCATTTTGTTTTCCGCCAAAAGGATACAACATACTGACAGAAAGCTCTTTTATGTTTTTTTGATAGATATCCTTTTGATGGCAATTTTCTCTCTCAGTCTGAAGATGTGGGTAATTATCATTATGTGGTTTATTTTCGCACCTGTTGCCCACAGATGGGACATTGGCCCTTTATATGTACGTTTCCTCTTTTCTCTTAGTTCCTGTTGTTATAAATGCTAATGTGTAGATCTGTTCCACTTCCACCCAAAACGTGAATGGACTAAGGTTATGAAATCATAATCTATAATCCGATGTCGGAGTCTTCTATAAATACATCTTCCTTCGTCCACTCTTTATGACTCAAAACACATATCACTAAACTGGCAGTTCCATGTCTACCCTTTAAACCACCTTTTTGAAGAGAAAATAAAAAATAAGTTAAGATAGCTGATGTAGTTTTTGTTTGGTGTTGCTCTGCATTCAGATACTTGCCACAGGTTTTGTTGTCATCCTCGTGAATCTTGGAAAGCGGCAACCTGGCGATGTCAGGTATTCATTCTATTGTGGATATAATTTTTGCCATTAACATGTAAATTGCGGTTACAGTGAAAGATGAATTTTCAAATACTTTTTTCTTCATTACTATCACAACTTTTTCATCAATACTATCAAAAGAAGAAGATAAACAGCAATGTATTCGGAAGGGGTGTAAAAATAGAAAAGACTTAAAACAATTAAGTGACTGTAGTTTTAGTTTCTCTCCCTGGATGAGGGAATTACCTGAGAACTTTAGAACTTGTTGAATGCGAAGAAATGGGAAATTGTTGTTGTGCTTGGTGATGTTTGCTGAACATTGTTCACATATTTGTTGAAGACTCCCTTGTCCTGTTGGAATTTATCATGCTCACCAAATGACTTCTCGACTATTTCTGGCTGCTTCTGGCACTCACTCCCTCCCGTCTTTGCCCTCTGTGCGTTCTTAGTGAACAATGTCTGAAGTCCTTCAGCATCTTATAAATATTATTTTGTGCTTTGGAATTTGCAGTGCGTATTCTATTTTCAATGAAGATTTTAGAGAGCTTCCCGGGACTCTTAATGCCGAACGTCTTGATGGGGACATACGAACAGGTCAGTTGTGAGCCTGGTACTGGCAAGTTTACATCCATTCTATGACGATAATGGTATGTGTATCAGCAGAACTGCGTTGAAGTTTTTCATAGTAATACAACAAATGTGCACAGATTTTCTTTCCAAGCTTATGTATAGCATTGTCCAGAGATACGCTTTCATGACGAAAGAGGTTTTATTTCGATAGCATTAGTTTGTAATTGTATAGACCTGTCTTTCGGAATTATGCTTTCTAAAGTTTGGAGCGATCGATCCAAAGAACGTCATTAGGGTTCCAGAGTCAGCTTATGATTTTGTACGTCTGTGTTGGTAACGATATTGATTGTGGCTGTGGCACAAAGCCTTCTGTAGTATCCATCGACTTGTGAAAAACTTGGATAATGAGGAATTGAGGATATTTCTGTAAGTAGCACGCATTATGGATGAAAGTAAATCAAACATAATAACATTCCAAATGTCAATAAGAGAGAACCACACTTAACTTATATGCTTCAGACCTTTTTTTATGACGATATATTTACAGTAAAAAAATAAATTGGTATCGAACTCTCTTTTTACAAGATTTAAACTCAAAACCTCATTTACAAGTAAAACTGAATATTTGATAGACTGTAGTAATGCTGGACATTCGTCAAACCCAATATTCATCATTTGGATTAGTTTAGTGTAAAAATATGAAAATTTGAAAAAGGGTTTTTAACACAAATGGTTCTTGAAATTGGTCCTCACCATCAAGATGGTCATTGAAATTGAAAATCAATCAATGTAATCCTTGAAAATAGGTGTCGCAAATCAATGTGGTCTTTTCGTTACAATTCTGTTAAAAATTCTATTTAAGTGCTGATGTGGCACATAAATGAGTTCCATAAGTCATTTTTTTCTCATAAATGGTCCTTAAAATTGACTCATATCAAAATGATCTCTGAAATTGAAAATCGATCAATGTAGTCCCGCAAGTGTCCCAAATCAATATAGTCATTCCGTCACAATTCTGTCAAAAATTTCGTTATGTGCTGATGTGACACATAAATGGATCACACAAAATTTCTATTTGGCAGAAGGATCATATTGATTTGCAACACCTATTTTTAAGGACTACTGTCATTGATTTTCAATTTTAAGGACCATTTTGATGGTGTGGGTCAATTTCAGGAACCATCTTGATGGTGTGAGTCAATTTCAATGATCCTTTGTGCCAAATCAGCACTTAATGGAATTTTTAACAGAATCGTGACGGAAGAACCACATTGATTTGCGACACCTATTTTCAAAGACTACATTGATTGACTTTCAATTTCAAGGACCATCTTGATGGTGAGGGTCCATTTCAGAGACCATTTGTGTTAAAAATCCTTTGAAAAATAATCTTTAGAATCAAACCGAGGGTTTGGTATGGTCAGTACTTGAGATCTTTTATGTTGTGTTATTCACACACCTTTTTTTTTTTTTTTTTTTGTCAAAATCCACCCACCCCTTTAAATTTATGACTTTTGATTATCTTTAATTTCGATCCAACAGCCAAAAATTGAAAATGACGTTTAGAAAGGGAAAAAAAAACAAATGTAGATAACACCAGCCTACTATTAATACTAAAGCTTTTCCCAGCTTCATAAAATTAATTCTACTTAATTGCTTGTAAATGAGGGACATGAAAGTTACAAAGTTTATCGTGGGGACTTGATTTGGGAAGAGGATATCCACTTTGTGAGGATGTTAGGAATCTCCATATCCTAACCGTTAATCGTACATCGTGCGATCAATTTTCGTCAAATACTGTATTTAATTTTAAATAAAAAAAAGTCAAATAATTTCTGACTGCACGATATACGATGAATGGTTAGAGATTCCCACAAAGTGGATTCGGATGAGATCAATCTGTCTCCCCAGGAAGAAGTCCAACTTCCCGTGGCGGAGGGGGGTGATGCGCAGAACCCCGTTGCTATCAAGACCTGGGATACGGGCGGTCGCCTAACATCCAAAACTTAACTTGAAAGGGTATATAACACAAACGGGCAGCAATTTCACTCGGGCCAAGTTTCGCAGTTTGTCAAAACTACAAAATTACGAAACCAAATCTTCACCAAAAAAAGGTTACGAAACGAATTCAGATCCAAAATTGCCTAGAGAAAAAAAACACAATCTAGAAAAAGAGAAGGGAAACTACTAAGACTCTTCTGGTTACATGATCTTGCAGGCCGCAATCCCCAGCCGAAACAGCAACCAAAGAACCGAGTTCTTTTGCAGAAGCAAGTACAACTCACCGTGCAAAATACAAAGCAAACCTATACCACCCTGGAAGAAGAGAAGGCATATTGATTACTAACAGAAACATCAAAAATAATGAGGACAGGCCAAAGCTTCTACCTGGTTGTTACGAGAATGTTACTCTCACACATCCGCATAAAAAACATGTGTGTAAAGCGTGTAATAGATGAAAAAAAGATGAATGCAACTGGTCCGAAAAACATATGCATGTCTAAAGCTAAAGGCTGATAACAAGGAAAATCATCTTATATAATTTTTTTTGTTTCCAATGAGTGCTCAAAAGAAAGACGAGCTGAATTGAAGGTGATGCAATGTGTCTTAGGTACCTCAAATAATCTAGCGCCTTTGGAATTTTCCAATTGAGCGTTTTCCAGATAACAAGTGCTTTGGTTTTAAAGTGGGAATGACCCTATCTGCCTCTCCGCGACGAGCATCCTTGTTTCTATTCTTATTAGATTTCCTGGCCTTCTGTAGTGCCTTCGCCTTCTGATTACAGTCCTTGAAGCCCTCTCCAGGGGCAACTTCAGTCGGAGGCCTTGATCTAGACCTTGGACAAGATCTAGATAACATAGGCTGCTTCTTGTTGGGTGTATCCACATCCATAGCATCGCCACCATCAGTATCACCCCTGTCAACTGATATCTCCCTCTTCCATCCCCTAGAGACAGATCTGCTTCTGGCCCGTTCAATTGCCCTAGTAGGATCAATACCCAATTTTGAAAGCTGCCTCCCCATTCTCTTTGTTGTGAACTCCCTATCCTTGTCAAATTTCCTTGGTACAATGGGTCGACTCTCTGCTGTGCTTTTCTTCATTCTATGTTGTGAATAGCGCAAGCTTTTCTGTTTCCTTATTGCAGCCAATGTCTTTTGCTCTTCTGGAGTCAATTGGAATCCATCCATCTCAAAATCATCACCCTCCTCTTCATGACGGAGTCCTTCTTCTCATTCCAATTCCCCAAGCCTATGCAAAATATCAGGATCACCAAAGTCACACATTGTGCCCATCATAAATTTCCGGCACGACATCCTCTTTCCATTCATCATTAGCTAAGATATAATGCTTCTTTAAACTGGCAGAGTATACACCTGCACCACCATTCTCATTCTCCAAATCCCTTTCTGTATGCCTCTCTTCCTTCTCCGTTGCTTGCTTAGTCTTAGCTTCTATAACTGCCTGAGGTATGCATGGGGGCCTTTCCTTGTTGTCACGAGGCTTTGGCATGGCAATGTGAAAACGATTTAAGCAGTCATTTATGTTTTTGGATTTCATCTTCAGTTCAACTCTCTGATTCAACAACCTCTCACAAGCTGCATTCTTTCAGCAATTACCCCCTCCTCGGTCAAAGTGCTCATGGCCAAGATTACCCCCGTATCATTTGTAGCCTCACCTCCCTGACCGATCACCGTCTTCATAGCTTCAGATTTCATCTCCGCGACCAACTTCTTGTCTTCCTCGGATATACCATCCAATGACTGCAAATCAGTCTTGTTGCAGACTATAATCAATGGTTTGTTCATAAACAGAGACTTGATGCTGTGAAAAAGAGCTGCTTGTTGGGCAATGCTGTACCCACAAGATCCCAAGATGTCCAAGAAGAACAACACCGCAGCTCTCAAGTGGGCCAAAGCTGTGATGCTGCACATCTCAATAATGTTACGGTCTTCAAATGGTCGGTCCAAGATCCCTGTTGTATCAATTACCTGGTACATCAGGTATTTATAATCTGTGTGTCCCACAAAGAGTGACTTAGTCGTAAAAGCATAGGGTTGGACATCCACATCAGCCCTTGTGATCTTGTTAATGAATGAACTCTTTCCGACATTTGGATAATCACAAATCAATACTGTCCTGGTAGCCTTGCCATGTGTTGCCTAATTTGTTCCAGGTAAGCTAAACTAGGACCAATCCTCTTTATAACTGTGCAAATGCGGCCAAGACCTTGATACATTTGCATCGGTAAAGTGAATCACCATACTTCAACAATTTCACAAAATCTTTAGAAATATTTCCAATAATTTTACTTGCAGTATTGATTTGGCCAAGCCCAAGATTGTAGTGGTCTTTGTTGTAGAGAACATGAAGAAGATCACCATAGAAAGGGTGGATATCATCCAGCCTAGGAAACTCATCGATGATTGTGGAGAGCTTTTCATGAAAATTCTGTTGGGTATATTTGACTTTGCGCATATAGAACTGACAAAGGCGGGAAATGGCATAACCCTTGTGGACTACAGTTGGGGTCTGCCTCTGAGTGCAAGACAGGATAATGTCAATGAAGTCCTTCCCATTCGGCACAACAGTCATCTTCTTGAAGTTATGCTGCACCATGTTTACTTATTGGTCTGCTGAAAAAGAAAAAAACAAAAAAGAAAAGAAAAGTTATTACCCAGGTTTACCATACACCGAAAATAAGAGTATCCTAACCAACGCAATCATAATTCAAAACCTGTTTTTCACAGCACATCATTTGATTTAAAACGTTTATAAGAATCCCATCAACAAGAGATGTATCCATACGCCTCATTGGACAGCATACAAAAACACCATTAACATGAATTTTATAGACAAAAACAACTACATACATAATGAACCTATTTTACTGAAAACAATGAACGACTAATTTCGTCACAAAAATCATAAGTTCATAACTTTCATTATGAGAGCGAAACTCAGGACTAAACCTCATGCAACGAAGCTGAAAATTCAACATTCTCAATATGAAACAAGTACGACACCATTGAAGGGCAGTTGTTACTTGTTACCAATCCAAGAAGAACAAAACAATTCACATAATTTCAGAAAACAACCGTGCCCGACGCTGTAATTGGTGTTTCCGCCCAAACCCTCCCATTACCGATTCATGGTTTCCGCCCCACCCCCGCCTTATCCCATTTAACAAAAAATTGTTACTTTCTTTTTCCTCTGGCAAATTTAACGACATACAAATGAATGTATGCTCTGCAACAAAGAACATCATAATTTCTAACAAATTTAATTAATTATACTAATGACTATTTGAGCTGCTTAAGCAAATTTATGGTAAGAAATGGTACAATTTTAATTCAAACAAATGAAAAAAAAAATCTGAA